TCTTAGAAGCACAGGCCATCTGGCTCTCAGGCCAGTTTTTCTTTTCAGTACTAATGTAATAGCAATGGTTGGAATAGGAAAACCAATCCTCCATGAAACCATTTTATATATTTAGCTTTGTTTCTATATGGTAAATGAAATAAAGTTTATATTTAGAAAATTTACAAAAGTATTTTTCATAAAAAGGAAGAAGTTTAAATAAACCAATGTGCATTAATGGTACAAAGTATAAATAAGCATGGTTGATTCAAAGAATCGAGTACTAGTAGCTTTAACAATAAATAAAAAGCAACTCTAGGCAATCTTTGAAGACTTTGAGAAGCAAGGACGGTGGACTTTGACGTGATTACTTCAGCTATGTTATCAGTACAGACCAGTCCTAAGAAAAAACATTTTCTTTGGTGAAATAGAGGTCAGTGAGAATGAGAGACACATTTAATGAGATGAGTCATCAACAGTGGATTGAAACACACTGATGATCACTGAGATCAGGACACTGCAATACTGTTAAAAAAGAAAATGTATATGAGTTGTTGAAAGAAAAAATATTTCTCTGTAGACTTTGACTCAAATAACAATATGAACCTTAAAAATGCACATAATCAAACAAAAATTGCATTTTGCTGTACTGGAGTTTGCATTGGTTAGAGTCTACCCAGGGACAATTAACAACAGGCACAAAAATATGGATGTACTGTCTCGCTGCGTCCTGGGGACAATATGCCTGTTTGGAACAGCGATGCATGGAGATGACCACGGGGCCAGCCCCACCACTGGACACAGCATTCCTCGTTGACCCATCGCACCATTGGGGACAGCACTAGAGACACACGGCGGGAAATGTGCCTGCCATGAGCTCACCACACCGAACGCCAGCCTCTGGGGGCATGCATCAGAGCAGCGGAGGTAGCAGAGCGATGAGGTCCCCAGGGATAGAGGTGGTGCCAGGGCATGGCACTCCATCAGACTTGACTGGAAAGCACACGTGAAGGAAAACCAACAGACCCTGAACTATTCATATGGTTATATATGTATGCCTGTCTGTGTGTTGTTGTTGTAGCCATTGTTTTACTTTCTGTTGTTGCTTCATTGCACTCAGTCTTGTGATGTACATAGCATGTCTACCTGGAAGGGATACGCGGAAGAAACAAGCCAGAAGAGAGAACAATGGGATGACAGATCGGGGAGCATGGGGGTAGGGGAGACGGGGGGAAAGGAAGAGGCTATCAACAAGCACAGGGACAAGGGAACAACAAGTGATCCAAAATCAATGTCAAAGAGGGTTCGGAAGGCCTGGCAGGGCTGGATCAAGGGCAATGTAACAGAAAGGAATTCCTAAAACCCAAATGAAGGCAGAACATGATAGTGGGGCAAAGGAAAGTAAAAAGAAATAGAGGAAAGAACTAGGAGGCAAAGGGAAGTCATAGAGATTTAAATACAGGCATATAAAGATGTAAATATATTTATATATGATAAGTGGGAAATAGATATATTTACATATATTTATAGGTTGAGTATTAAGAAAACAGATGGACAGTTGGCCCCTGCAGAAGTACTCCCTCAACACAAGAACACTTTGTTCTAACAATTCGGCAGTCTGAGATGCTCACCTTCCTGGCACAATCGCTGAAGACAATAGGTGCACAAGCAAATGTGGTGAAGAAAACTGATGGTGCCCAGCTACCAAAAGATACACCACCTGAAGTCTTAAAGACCTGAAGATAAACAA